CGACTTGCAAAGGAGTTCCATTCCTCCAGATTACCAGTTTTTGTATGGAAAACGCTTCTAGGGTACAAATATTAAATCATAAAATATAATCAATACAAGATGAGAAGAAATTTTTCAACCCGTAGCTCACTGCATGGCAAAGGTTTGCAAGTGTTTCCAAAAGCATGCAAAGTCGTTTGCTGGATATTCGCAAAAAGTTTCAATGGACGCAAACCGTTTTTCTTTCTTTGACCGAACTTCCAGTGAAGACATTTTGAGCATATTCAAAATTAGATGGTAAAAAGAAAAACTGTTTGCGACCATTAGAACTGGTTGCAAATTTCTGGCGAACATCTTTGCCGTGTTTTTACAACCTTTAATAATCCCTGATGAATAAAAATTCTCTACGTTTGTTAAAACTTGCAAGCATTCCCCACCCAGTGAGATACACGCTTTACCATGACCTCTGTGAATGGCTTGTCCAATGACTGGAAGGGCTTTACAAGCCAGTGGTAAATAAAGAGGTGGTGTGGAGGATCAGGGAAAAGCCCCCAGTGTTTTTGTCCTTCTGGAGCTTTCATTAGTACCCAGTGTTTAAATTGATAGCTGTAGTCACTCATGTAAATGTTTGTTTAAAAAAAAACAAAAAAAAAACCGTTTTTTTTTTTTGTTTTTTTTTAATTGTAAATATAGTTTGTGTGCGTGTATATAGATAGATAGATAGATAGCAGTGGCGGACCCTCAGGGCCAGCAAGGCCTTCTCTGCTGGCCTAAACATTGTCAGAAGAGTAAATTTACTTTTCTGAGAATGACATAAATTTGTTATTTTATTTTCATAAATATGTAAACAAAATTATTCTCTGTATTCTTTATATCATATTATTTCCACTTAGTCGAGTGGCTTTCAATGTTATTATAAATAACAGGTAAATTGTTGTGTTGCCAGGTAAATTAAAGTTGCTCGGGGCCTTCAGATTAAACAGAGCAGGCCCCTGTGCGCTGTAAATGAACGGGCACAGTCAGGTTTCAATAGCCAATCAGATCACGAGTCTCAGACTTGTGATCGGACTCGTCTGCTACCAGGGCCAGCTAGAATGCCCTACGTCGAGGCTGGATGTGCGTGTTCGCTGATTGGACAAGCGCCTGCTAGAGGTTCTGTTTCCTGAGAATTGTATCCTGACTTGTTCAATAAAGATTTAAAAACGATTGGATGAGTGCCGCCCACGAGCGCTATCAATGCATTTTAACCCAAAATGGCTGAAGGAGAAGACGTTGATCTGGTTGTGGAACTACTTTCCACACAATTTTCAAGACGGACCTTCCACCAAAAGCTGTATATTGTGCGAAGAGGTCGCCTAACTCCTGCGCTAGCTAACCTGTCCCAGCAGGGAAAAGGGTTTGTCCGTCATTTTCAGACGAGCAATTATGAACGGTACCCGTGTCTCACAGTCTTTGAGAAACGCTGGAAATTGTACTGCTGGGAATGCCTCTTGCTTGCAACTGACTGGTGCGTTTAAAAACGTTTGGGGACACTCGCGTAGATCTGCAGCTCGGTAAACAGGCACGCCGGGAGACGGAGCTCCACAACGAAAAAGTAAAAAAAAATAAAAAATAGGGAAATTAAAATTATACCAGCCTGTACAGTATTGTGTTCATGTATGTGACGTCACTGAAGGCCTAAGGTTGAAATGCACGGCCCACCACTAGATAGATAGATAGATAGATAGATAGTCACACCTCGGTTTTCAACCATAATCCGTTCCAGAAGGCTGTTCGAAAAGCGATTTGTTCGAAATGCGAAACTATTTTATCAGCCCATGATGAGGGGCTAATACACTATGCAGAAATAACAAAAAAACTGTCAAATTTGCAAAAATCACCACAAACACGTCTGCTCACAATGAACGTTACACGTCACTTCCTCGTGTAAGGAAGAGTGGCGTATTCAGGTTTGCTTAGTTTGCTCGAAAACCAATTTTCGATGGTAATCCGAGGCGTAAAATCTAAAATTTTCTGGTCAAAAAAAAGATTTGGTCGAGAACAGAGATGTTCAAAAACCGAGGTATGTTTTATATACAGGGTGACCCAAAAAGATGCGTACCCATATTTTATTCGATAAAAAATCAATTTTTTAACGAATGTCTTTTCTGTTGCAGGACGTGAAAGGTGAACCTATGGATGATCGTTTTCAGCTGTAGTTGTCCCAAAAATGTCTTGGACAAATCAGCAGAAGATATTCTCCCTGGAGATCTATTTTGCGACAAAATCATACCAGAGTGTACAGATTCAGTTTCGAAAACGTTTCCATTGTCGCAACTTTCCACCAAAATCAACGATTGTTAGTTGGGTTACGAAGTTCAGAGAGCATGGGACTGTAGTGAACTTATGTTCTAAAGCCACAGGGGGAACTTATTCAGGCAGGAAAAAGAGTGCAAGGACAGAAGAAAACATTGCTGCAGTGAGGGGTTCTGTGGGGTTTCCTCAAAGACAATGTATACCAGGGAAATCCACAAACAATTGAGGAACTGAAAACTGCCATCACAGCAAAAATAAGAGCCATCCCGAAAGAGGAGTGTGTAAAAGTGATTGACAACTTTGTCAGACGAGTACAGGTTTGCTTGCAACGGAATGGTGGACATTTGGAACACATCTTGGGAAAGCCATAAATTGACTAAAAATTGACAGAAATAGCTGAAACTCTGGTGAATGGTCTTCCATAAACTGAATAATGTGTGGTTGTAATTTGAAATAAATAGCTTTTTAATCAAAGTCACAATTGAAATGTTCATGGGTACGCATCTTTTTGGGTCACCCTGTACA